CTTCCTAGAAGGTGAGCAGTGTTTTAATTGAGGGTGGAGAACACTTACACATTAAGGTGGATCGACACAAAGGTGGTTGGAGAAGCATTGCTGAAGAAAAAGCACTGCAAAAGGATTGATTTATTGAACTGAATGTCTGCACTGGAATAATACTGTGACTTATCACAAGGGTGACACTTTTGGATTAATGTATTGGACTTTTATATGGTCCAACTGATTATTTAGCAAATTCATTTTTTGGATGAACTGATTAATTTTACACATTCATTTGATATTGATATATTAGGATTAACCGAGATGTTTGGCACATTTATTTACTCATGCATATAGCTTTATTTACTTCACAATTTATTTCACAAGAAGGTTTTTTGGACAGGTAGTTGTACAGATCACTGTACTTTTATTGGTTTGTTAACTTCAGGACTAGGATACTCCTATATCATTGGCTGCTTATCATACATTTATTAGGCTAAGGAAAAGGCAGAAGTTTTATATTTATAACAGTACCGATGGTGCTGCATAAATAATAGCTAACCGGGAAAGAGAGATTGTAAAGTAAAATCTCTGGGCAGTTCTAAACATTGGCCTAGTTCCAGGTTACTGAATGCTTTTAAACTTGAAATGAAATGTTGAAGTGTGTGGTGGGCATGAGAAGTTCATAGCCCCTGATAAATTCATTGCATGGTTACAGGGCTTATATTAAGACCCTGACAAGGATAACTCTTCAATTCCCCAAAAAACAGCTGCAGTACAGTCCAAAGAATTGTGACTCCAAGATCTCTCCAAGATGACTTTGATCCAGATTAAGAATACTGACAATGTAATTAACGTAACGTGAGTAATGTGCCTGCTCCTGCCAAACATTGTTAAAGCGAGCTAAAGACCATCATGCGGAACACTCTGCTGAATCACTGAAGCCAACGTGATAAAAGGTCAGTGGAACAAATAAAAGACACTTTCATCAGGGGAGAACTGGTGAGGAAGTGCTGGGTTACTGGAGATTTCAAACAGGCTATTCAATCTCATTTTATAAGATTCTTTTAGCTTGCCTCTTTTTCCTGGCTGTGAATTGCAGAAGTATCAGAAAGCAAAAAAAAAAAAAAGGTGCTAATACAGCTATTAGGAACTTGTAGATCACTTCATGTGAGGCTGATACATTATATATAATGTCCACGTTCTCCTACTAAAGTTTTGATGACAGTACATTTCTGATATTCCTACAATGTAAGCAATTAAAATAGTCTATAGTTGGGCTTGTAGATTATAATGTGTATCCTGTAAGCTTCAGCACGCAATAACCTGTGCCACTTACATTATGGAAGTGGACTTGATGTTAATGTGAAATCTCTTCTTCCTATAAAACACACTTCCTAGACGAATTGTGTTAATGTGATGTCACTTCCAAAAGAAACACAAGTCCTGAAGTAAGGGTGGGACTTGAGTATTCATGCTGCGTAATTCCATTGTAGCTGAAACTGCCAATATGCACATACAACAAATCCTACAGCTCAACTCATTAGCCCTTTTTGCACCCACTGTGGTGTATTGAGGCATTGTGTGACTTGGTGTCTCTTTTCTCTTTCCCTCTGTTGTTTTCCTAGGCAGCACAGTGCTTTAGTGGTTAGCATTTCTCCCTTAATTAATTTGCTCCTGTCTAAATTAGTTCTAGTATGTGTGTTGCATGTGACATAGAGGCTTTAGATTGTAAGCTCCTTGAGAGCAGGGACTGATGTGTATGTTAAGTGCTATGTAAATACCTCTAATAAGAGAACACTCCTGGTTTCCTATCACCAGATGAGCATATCTCACTGGTGGAACAGTCTGTCCTCTCCAGCATTGATGTCACATACCTGGTAGATCTTAGTGTCCCCAACAGTGACCACTAACCAGTATAGATCCCAGTGTCCCCAGCAGTGACCAATGACTAGTATAGCCCCCAAAAATAACAGCTCACCAAGATAGGTCTGTGTCCCAAGCAATGATTACTGACCAGTTGACATGTAAGTTTCGTTTTGTTCCGAATTGAAATTGTGTTGTTAAAGTGAAAGTCTAAAGGTCTGGTAGGAATTTTTGGGGGGATCCCGTGCCCCCCCAAAAATACACAGTGTTCACCCTAAAAATCCCTTACCAGACCCTTGATTCGAGCAGCAGCCTGGCAAAGCTGGAATGGAGGGGGGATGATTGTGCGCCCCCCCAACCATACATCTACCTGATTATGAAAGGGTCACCCAGATGCCGCCCCCCCCCCTCGTAAATGAGCAAGGGGCAGTTGTTACCCCTACTAATTCACCAAATAAACCATACGATAGTAAATAAATACACCACTGACCCGTGACCACTGTCCAGTATTGCTCTCAGTGTACCCAGCAGTGACAAGTACAGATCTCAGTGTCTCCAGAAGTGACCACTGATCAGCATAGATCTCCGTGTCCTCTGCAGTGACCACTGACTAGTATAAATCTAAGTGTACTCAGCAGTGACTGCTAACCAGTATACACTTAAGTGTTCCCAGCAGACTACCACCTCATCTTCTGCCTCAGTCCACTCTCAGCACCTCCAGCTGAACAGTAAGCCTCAGCACTCAGCAGCCTTGCCCACTAACAGTGAGTGGCGCCTCCAAGGCATTTACTCACTGTTAGTGGGCAGGGTTGGGTTGAACAATCTTTCCCCCTGCCTCCCATTGGTGTTGGCTGCAGGCCAAGCACTTACACTGCATTGGCAGTGGCTGCTGCGCTTCAACTGGGCTGGCCTTCAGACAGTACACAAGCAGGGCTTGAGCTGCCCACACATCTGGACTAATGAAGGGGTGGGAAGCAGGCTGTAGGCAAACAGAATACTACAGCACAAAGTACAAACAACATGCCGTTCTGGCTGCCACCACACAGTGAGGTGGTGTCCGAGGCAAACATTTTAGGTTGTCTCTAAGTACAGTGCTTGTTGTTGCCCAACACAAAACACGTTAGCTGTTCAATTTTTCCTTATTATGAGTAAATATACAATATAAGGTTTTGAACTCCTAGAATTTCATCCTGGCGCTCGATTGCCACACATATATATATATCATGCATAGAAAAGAAAAAGTAACCTCTGCTGTATTATGCATTGGTTCTCATGTGCATGACTCCAAATGGATGTGCCAGTTTGTGGTTTTCCGTCTCCAGGGCTGTATAGCCACTGACAGGGACCAGAGCATCTGTCATGCATTCTTTTTTCCCAGCGGTTTCCTACTATTGCATGAAAACTGCAGCTCACACGGAATTGTCAGCAATGCAAAAGCCACACTTTCTGGTATCAGTCAACAACTGTTAAGTGGTACACACTTCTTACACATGACATCAGTAAGAAGGGTATTTTTAAATTTTAATAATACTTGAAGAATTGAAAGGACACATATTTCACCAAGTTTTTCCCTTTCCACATTAATGTAACATTGTACATAGCCTTAAAAATAAACATTTATTATAAAAATATAAAACTTTAAATCAACACATTCAGTTACATCCTACACCAAAAAAACTGTACAGCATTAAGAAAAAAACAAAACCAAAAAATAAAAAAACAAATCCACAGGAACACACATTGTACTTTCAGTCATTGTTTAGATGTCATAAATGTGCTGCTCCACTGTTCACATCACTCGTTTGACAGAATTAGCAAGGTTTATAAAGTGTTTAATCATACTGTAACTACATGAACAGTAACTTCTCAAGCTTAGACGGTGCAACCAAGCTTGTGTTCTCCAAATGGCAGTTAATGAACAAACGACCTAACTGGAAACTGCTTTTCTACATTAGTCTTGAGTGATGGACACTTCTTGATTTGTTTAAAAGTTTCCGTTATGATTGGTTGCCTATGTTTCCATCAACAATTGGCCCATCTCAGATATCAAAGTCTTTAGCACACATTTCATGATGGGCTTTCCAGTGTTAAATCACTCTCCTTTGAGAGTTACATTTTATAAGTACAGTGTAAAATAATAAAACATTAAGTACAATTTTCTCTACAATCATAAATGCAATAGACCACCTTTATCTTTTTCGGGGAGTGGGCACATGTACATGAATGCTGTATTTTCACCTGTGTTCTGTTGCAGCAAATTTACTGCATATTGAACAAAACTTAATTTAGTGCATATTGAACAGAGTCTACTCAAATCTGCTCACTGAAGACAATGCAGAAAGTGGCAAAAGCACATATGAGTGTCAACAGTTAATGATTAACCTACCTTAAACATTTTCAGTTTACACCCACGACAGTTGTGCACACAGCCTAGACTTTTCTCTTAAGAGTTCAGTGAAACTTTCATTGGATCTGTTCAACTTGAAATGAGCAGAACTTGGTCCTAGCAGAAAAAACAGCAGCAGTACACAAACCCTTTATTACACTTGATCCCAGATGACATTTGCTTTGTAGACTCATACATGGATTTCTTCATTTTGTTATCCTTTATAAAAAGACCACCTTCTTTGATCTTTCACCCCCTGAATATAAAACAGAAATGTGATGGAGCCACTGTTTGAAGTACCTTGGGCATAGAAGGTGAAGTGCTTCCAGGCTCGAGAGGGCACATGATGATATTATCATACCTTCTGCTTTGCAAATGATTCTGTTTGCTCCAGAGATTACATCACACTATGGTGGAGAATCTAGTGTCCTTTCTGATATGTCCAGATATTCTGTAACTCTAAGCACTCGTTTATGTACGCTCTTTTCAGCTTCAAGTCTATCTTTGGTCTTCATAAATAGCCCATAGAAACACTGGTGCATCACTGCTGCATTATATAGCAGCTACTGCTACTGTGAATGTAATAGATTTCCACGGCATGGTAATCATTATTTATATTGTTATATTATTTTTGTTATGTCATCTGCTCCCATCATTCATTTTATTCTCATTAGTGCTACTTTTAATCTAGCCTGACAAAATACATAATTTGTTTTAAGCATATTGCTGACTGTATGTCTTATGATACTGCTGTTCCACTAAGCAGTGAAATGTAATTCTGATATTAATTTTTCCAGTAAGAACATTTTCTTCTTTTTTATTGTCCATTATTTTTTTTCCAGCATCTGAACGAGGATTTTGCACAACCACAGTCAGCGGCTATCTGCCTAGATAAAAGTGCTACACAGACATACAGCATAGAACTCACATTGTTTTGGAGATGTTATGAGAATAGCCATGCACTGCCCACTATCAGTGCGGGGCTCATTTCTTAGAACTGTGCTGAACACATGGCAACAATATACATTTTAAAGACAAGAAACAAGTAACCTTTTCCTAACCTGTCAATAAAAAATTTTGTGTATCATGTACCATCTTCTGTACAGCAGTCTGTAGGCACATTAATCAACATATGTCTTTTTCTAGTGCAATATAACAAAAGTGAAAGCAATGCCAACTGCGCTGACATATAACATCAATTAAGTACTTGGACAAAAAGATCTTCTTGAAATCCAAGAGTAAGAGTCACATGGTGGAAGGAAAAAGTCATGTATCCAGATTAAAATCTGTGTTTTCTTCAGCGAGTAGGAGAGATGGATAGGGAGCAGTACATTTTATATTGACGTATGTTGTGTTGATAAGCACATAATGCTCCCCAATGAACGTTGAGAAAAGAGATGAAATTTTTGAAACTAATTCAGAAAATGTTGGACGTGACTCTGGTTTTGGATGCCAGCATTTCAACATGACTTCAAACCTATTTTTTTGTGAAAAAAAAAACAATGTTAGTAAATCAGTAGTAATCGGCTATACAGACATGTATGAAAAACAAATATTTGATATATGGTATATAATCCTGACATGAAAAAAAAAATAAGACCCGTACTAATAGACACATAATGCATAAAGTAGGGCAATTACCTCAGCTGACAGTGAAACTGTGCTTCACATAAGCCTCTCACTGGCTGCATGTTTCACAATGTTCACTTTGCAAAGTTACTTTTTACTTAGCTTAGTGAATGAATTAAAATCAAGTGAAAATCCACTTAGCAAAAAATACTTAGCAAGAAAAATTTTAAAAATTGGATTTTTAGTTGCACATGCTTCACCGCATTTACTAAGCTAGGTGAATGCTTTTACTTAGTATCACCTCATTCATGCAGCTAAGTGAAAATTCACTTTGTATTGTGAACATGTTTCTACTACTTTAGTCAATCAACCCATATGAATAAAAAATGTCTAATTTGTACACCTGTGTTTAACAAATTGCCACAAAAGCAAGCAATTTTGTTATAATTATAGCGATATTATCTTTAATTAAGAGTGTTTAATTAAAGAACTATTGAGCAATTTGTTTCGGCAAAGATTTGTTGCTCTAATATACTTTGGGCATGGAAATTCTAGAAATGAAGGAAATCTTCTTAAAGGAAAACCCCAAATCAGATTCACACAGTATGTGTCTATTAATCTTATATTTTAAACAAGAACGACTCAAGTGGTTGGACATATGGACAATTTTAATGCTATAAATTCAGATCTGACACTTACAGTGTATCAGGACAGTATTCGGGTTGTAGTAGTCTTCGTCCTTGTAGTAAATAAACAGTTATATCAAAAGAATTGACATCAGGATATGGGGGTGCTCCTCTTGTCATTAGCTCCCATAACAGCACACCGAATGACCACTAGAAACAATAAAGCACTTCAGTACTGGCTAACATTTTTGTGTGTGAATAAAGATGAAATATAAAACAAAATTAAAAAATCTTATAGCCAAACATCATTATGAGACTTCATACACTTGTGATTTTTAAAACTCTGATAGATAACCGTTTAATAATTTATTTTTTTTAATATACTGTTTAAACAAATTTCCAGCTAGATAATTTGTTCATTTGTTGGATTCTAACCATGTTTGTCTTTTATAGCATCTGCAAAATGAATTCATGGCATTGCTCGAATAATTTAGACTGGTAATGAAGGTCTCCATTAGGCTGAGTAGGAGAGATGGATAGGGAGCAGTACATTTTATATTGACGTATGTTGTGTTGATAAGCACATAATGCTCCCCAATGAACGTTGAGAATAACGTTCATTGAATGTCATATCTACCATGGAAGCCAACAGTTCAAGTTCAGTATGCTCATCTGAATGCCCAGCTAACATAAGAAATCATTATTAAACTGTATCTTACAGAAGGATCCTTCACAAGAGTATTGCCTATCATCATAATGGACACTACAAGTTCTACTCTATTGGATTGAATGACTTCTGTTGGCCACAAACAGTCACATTTAATTCAGATTGGAGATCATTTTACACTGCTATGAAGGCCCTGCCAAAACAATACATTCAAACAATTTAAAAAAGGGTTAACCCTCACACAGTTCGAACATATTGCTTATATTTAAAATCTGAAAACAATCTGGATGTGGACAGTTTTGCACAGACAACTTTAAATGAAGGGTGGATCTTCGCTTAGGAACTCCAACATTACTATCCCCTTACAACCAGACCATTGCCCTTTGTTGTTTTCATTTGTTTTCCATTCTCACATAATAGAGCTACTATAGTGGCCGGTGAAATGACAAGTCATAATGATGGTGCAGAGATCTACATTCCTTCAAGCAGAGATTCACATTGAGATTTAAGTGCACATGTATAATTTCTAATTTTTTTTTATATATATGTAAAACAAATCAGATTAGTGAATTAATATCTGATATGATTATTTTATCAATATGTATTTATATTTTATTACTTTGTTTCTGTGTATAATTAGTGATTTTATATGTACATGGGGGCAGCAATATTTACTTTACACATACATAGGCACTGCTTCCAGCTTTGCAGTGCTACACTAAAGTTCTGCTCTACTGTTCCTTCCCACATTGCACGAAATTTAATTTGTGTATCATTCAGCTGTAGACCCTCAAATTGTCTCTGAATGTGTGCTGACACTGTCCTTCCTTCTGGAGGGTGGCTACTTATGTTCCACATGGTCTCGGTGTGTATTGTAAAGCAGCCACCGCTCCAAGCTCATTCCACTAATCGACTACAATCTCAATACAAATTATTAAACTGAACATGAGACCATAATCTATCACGGGAGTAAGTTTGGAGCGGTGGCTACTTTACAACACATGCAGTGACCATTGAAAACAAAGTAGCCCCCCTCCAGAAGGAAGGACAGTGTCAGCACCAATTCAGTGATGATTTTAGGATCTACAGCCAAGTGATGCTCAAATACGCTACATTATTGTTAATAGGTAAGGTACCTGAATACATTTTTAGGATTTAACTCCTGAGTTTAGTGTCACTTCATAAAAAAGCACTCCTTGTGTGTCGCTCAACAGTTGTTTAGAGAGCTCCTGAGAGCTCCATCTAGTAGCTGATTTGCAAATATCTATATTTACCACAATAACAAAATGTGTAGTAGCAAGCATATAAAACATTATTAAAATAATGTTAACATAAACACAATATTCATAATTAAAAATATGTGTTCAGTACTAAACATATACTATAGCTTCTCTTGAAGTATTTTTCTTTATCTCTAACGATCCACCCTAACAAATTTTGCAGACAAAATATAAACAAACACTCTTTTATGTTCTAGAATTCTGCTGCAAATGCTAAATGCAATTGTATATATAAAATGTAACAAATTACATTCCTTTGTTTTCATGTATTTCCACGTCTTATGTAATCCCTCAGTTATATTGTATGGCAACATATTGTATTGCACCGATACATTCCTAGACCTCCAGTTTTACTTAATTTAAGAAAGATGTCTTTCTGAAACATGTTTCTCGCAGAGGACTTCTCCATTCCCATGTGAGTGTATTAATATGGTAAGCAGATGTTTAATGGAAACCTCATCATAGTTTATAAGTGACCATTATGTAAGTTACAACCTCAAAGATTTGGGTGGTAATGACTTAGACATTTGGCTTCCAAAGCAACTACAAGCCACATGGGCTTTTTTTTCCCAGAGAAATTATCACATCATTTACTTATTCAAGCTGATGCAACGCTGAGCAGCTATGACACCAGAGATTTATTAAACTGGAAAAAATTGTATTCAGTTATCCTTTTCTTGTATGTATCAGAGAAACCATTACTAGAAACAAACTGGTTGCTGCAGGCAGCTCAGATATGTTTTCTGTCTCCAGTTACTAATATATAACCCTGGGTCTCACAACTAGTTTATTCTTTTTTGGAACTCTGAGTTATACCTATAATAGAAAACAGTTTTGTGTTTGTGTATACTTGAGGAAGCTCCACAGGGTAAAAAATGTAATCCACTGATTATTCATATTACAATGTGGGTATTTAAAAAAAAAGAAAAAAAGAAGCTGAGCTACATTAAAATACATATATAAACTTTACAAAAATATGTAAAACCTCATTTTTAAATTGTGCTAATTTATGTACTGGATTGTGTAGTAAAATGAAGGTAAATTATTGTGGAAATGCAGGCACCTTGCAGTATTTTTAGCTGGGTCACCTGCCCAGTTTCTTGGCTTATCATTAGCCTATCACTAAGATGTGGAACCTTACTGACCAATAATGAAAAAGTAAGGCAGGAAGGTGGATGGAGATCAAAGCTCCTACTTCCTAGGGGGTCCTAGGAAGCTTTAAAAAAGAAAAAAAAAGCTTAAACTACATTACTTATATGCTAAAGGCCTCATTCAGACAGGGCATACATGTCAGTGCGGCGTGCACACCCGTAAATGGGCCAATCCTGGGAGGGACAGGTGCTGCGTTTTGCTGCGCGCAGCAACCTGTTCTTCCCTATGGGAGGAAGCGGCTGTATGCTCACATATGCACACCGGAACTTGCACAACCATGCCAGTCCAAGTGTCCGCACTTTGACATAGACAGTGTGCATCCAAGTGGTGACACCCGTAACAAATAAGTCTGAATGAGGCCTTAAAGTCTAATTCCAGGCTGCTTGCTGGCACCATTCAACCCCTCCTTGGCTATGGAAGCCCCCTGCTGTAATTTTAATTTTTTATCCATACTGACCTTTTTCTGGAGTTTTTAGCTGGACATGTAACGCTCTGGATCCTCTTAACCTTTTATTTTGTGCTGGATGGTTCCTAATGATGTGAGAGTGGAGCTGATTTGCCTGCATCATTCTATGTCAGTGCAGGACCATGTGGTAATGTCCCCTCATGCAGCATTTCCATGACTCCTTGCACTGACAGGAAGAGGGCTGAATGATGCTGAGTTTCATTCAAACTAAAAGAGGACCGGTGCTGCACCTTAGAGCAGGTAAGTCTGTGGGGGGTGGGTGTCAGATGGAAAGTTACATCCATAGCTGCATTTAAAAATAAAAGCTTAGGGGCCAATGTTTTAAAAGAAAAAGTTAGCTTTAAACCCTGCTTGTTTTCCTCCAACCTTTTTATTAAATTATAGCACTGTTTAAAAAAATTGTGTAGCAACAATTATTTTTGCTGCTTTAAAAAAATACTAATGCCAAGTATGGCAAAATTCATTGTTTAAATATCTTTTACCCTGAGCATTCTCTTGGTTCAAAGTGCATTACTGTAAAGGGAATATTTTTGCTAGTGTGTAATTTATATTCAATGTTTGAATTTATAACACAGGTGAAAGACATATTGAATTATACATAAAACATAATTTACCACATCTGATTTTGTAGTGAACTTTTGTGTCTGTAAGCTTTCAAGTGCCATCCATTTCACAGGTAATTTTGCTCCAGTTTTATTGTGCACGCTGTAGTATTCCTTGTCATAAACATCTCTCGCAAGGCCAAAGTCTGCCACTTTGACAGTGAATGTCTCGTCAAGCCTACAAGATAACATAGAATGGTTATAGAGACCCAGGTAGTGGGAATGGCATTAGAAAAGCCCACTGTATATCACTCTTAAGTCAATTCTAACTTTTCCTTGTTTCCAATGTTTATTGCTTGCTATGGGACATGAGGGAAGCTGTGCTAAATAAAGCAAAAATAAGATAAATATTGATTTTTTTAAAGTAAAAAATAAATAAAAAGTATATATTATAGTTCACAAATACTATTTGGTGTCTTACTATTGGGTTTTAAAGACCTCTGTTCACATATACTTTAATATTATGCTTAGAAGACTACAAACTATTCTTATTCAAGTATTTATAATTAAATACTTACTTGCTAAAAATATTTATTTTACGCCTTTTTAAGTCAGGTCAACAAACCTAGAAGCTCAAAAAAGGCAAGGATGGCAACCTTCCATTCTCTTCCATAACATCTGCCACTAGAGAAATTTGCTGATGGCTGTTTCTGGCCTCCTGAAAACGCTAGTTTCCTGATTGTCTCTGATCTTAGTACTTTCTGAGACACTGACCCAAAACAAAATGCATACAACAAGTAATGTCGGATTCCCTAAATTGTCTACTTGTTCCAGCTTACTGGCTCAGAGGATAAGTATGGCAACTCTGTTGTCAGCAATGGCGGCACAAGGTTTTTTTCTCATGACAGGTATACTTTTTTTACAGCCAATTCCTGAAAAATATACATTTGGCCCCATCAGCAAAGTGGTGCAGAAGCAGTTAAAATAAGCTTTGCATGCATTCCTCCACTGTGCAGGCAGACTCAAATAGGGCCAATTTACATCTTTGGGTTGCATTAATGCACGTTATGTCATGTTCTAACATGCCTTGCGTTAAAGGCAGCCCATTTATTTGAATGGGCTTCTAAACGCACAAAAAAAAGAGCTTTATTAGTAACATTCTTCCCAGTAACCAAAAATGAATACTTGTACTGCATCATCTATTAGATTAAATTATTACATTTTTCTAATTTTCTAGCTTTGACTACTCCAGCCAGCACTCTACCCTATTCATTTTACCTTCAATTTGCAGCTTTTTGGCATGAAAATCATTATGTCATAGCAAATTTAAAGACTTTTTAAGTACACTGACCTGTCTTTAATTAAATGTGGATTTTATTGCTACAAGATGAAATGAGAAATGACTCAGAAATGGCATCAATCAGGTGGGAACTGCAATAAAGGCGGGGCTGGATGTAACAGCTCAGAAACCATACTGAAGAACAAGGGCAGACAGGCATAATGAGCCAGCCAAAGTCCACACTTAGGGGACTATTTATAGCGGACAGTGGATATTACTATTAGCTCGATATCAAAATATTTCTACTGCGGCCTGCATTTTCATTCATAAAACTGAGGTTGTGGTGTGGAGCCTGCGGTGCCCCATAGAGTTCTCTCTACCTAACGGTCATCTGACTGTACTTTCCTCCCTGGGTTTTTTTTAACTTGACCACCAGATATTTTTCTCTCTTTGGAGAGATTTCCTCTCACTTCCTGTTGTTGTTAAATCACTTACAATGGATGCTGCTCCTTCATGTTTAAAAGTTTTAGTTTACTGCAGACAAGCCATCTCACCTCTTTATTTATTCCTTATTGTATTCAGTTGAGGAGCATAGGAACTCACTATGCTTATTGGCTTCATCGAGTGGCGGTACATGAATAGCATTCACCCAGCTATACTTTGGGTGGAAGATTTACAAATGAGCCCCTAAGTGTTTAGGCCAATGTGTAGTATTGTTAAATATATGGCTGCTTATTAATGAGCATTTGATTTCAGTATTATGTGTTCTTTCATGCACAGGATACCTTAACAATCACACCTAAAAGTAATTTAATATGTTTTGCCAATGTGCTGGAGGAACGAGGAACCAGAAGGATTTGTATGACTGCCAACATCATGAAACAAATCTGTTCTCTGAGCAAACACTTACTCTTCTTTTTCTATTTTAACCCCTTAGGAGCCCAGAACTGACAGCCCAGGGACCGGAAGTGATGCAATCTGCATCGCTCCCGGTACCATAGAACGGGGAGGGGATCGATGAACGGAAGTTCGTCGACCTCCTCCCCAGCTCCCCGCGGACACCAAGATCGCCGGTCCCAGGCCCGTAGGAGGGGCAACGGAGCCCGGGAAGCACGGCGGGGGTGTCTGGCGGGGAGGGGGGCCCCTTCTTCGGGACGCAGAAGCAATCTGGCGACAGGTAAGTTGCCAGGATCGCTTCAGTTGTAAAGCCGACAGTCGGCTCTACAAGTTTAAACAGAGTCCAGGCGGCAAAAGTCACCGGGAGTCTGTTTAAACAGCCCCGATGCTGGCGACGTACACTGTACGTCGTCAGTCACGAAGGGGTTAAACACTACAAGTCAGGCCCTGTCTACATGAGGATAAAGTGGATACATTGGTGTTGTTTGAGAGGATATCCCGGGATATCTAATAGATATTTTATTTAGGTTTATTACTCAAGCTAACTGTGACAACAACTTTAAATCCTGGAAGCTCAACTGTACTGCTGTAATAAAAGGAAAATGTGACTGCATAAGCATGAGAGACACAGAAAGAGCTGATAAGATCAATATACGCCATTTACTAACTTGCTATACACTGACTATAGACAATGCATAGTGTCAGGTGTCAAAAACACACAATAAAATACTATAGTCAACATTTACAATTGTACTATATTTATATTTTATACCATATCAACTTCCTACATTTCCACTGACTACAGTCTGGTTTGTTTGACTGGATATCCTTTTTTAGAAACAATCACATTTCCTGGAATAAATATTATCCCTCAGGGACACACAAAACAAAAATGTGCCACAGGTCAATGCTAAACATGGGGAGGAATAAAATATATAAATGAAATGAAATAGCTGACACTTACAGGCCTATGTAACACATGTTTGCACAGTACTAAAGCAAATTCAACAGTGTTCTTGGGTGCATGACATGTTTTCTTCACTGTCTG